CCCCCCCCCCCCCCCCCCCCCCCCCCGCCCCGTACATAGTTGTATATCTTAGTTGTGGGTCCTTCTAGTTGCGGGGAAAGTACTTTTTTTTTTAACTAAGAAAATGCAATCTAACATTTCTGTAAATCAGCAAAAGCATCTTCTATTCTGTTTCCCCAAAAAAAGGATGAATAGTAACTTACCTTTCAGCCTAGAGTTTGCAAACCATAAAGGATTATTCAGATTTTATTCTTTTTATTACCTCACCGTATCTTCCAGGGCCATAGCCATAAACCTTTATTACTAAAATGCTCCTACATAATTTTGTAAGTGTTGGCAAGAAGACTCTGGGTACCTGTTATTCACTATAGGTTGAGTAGAATAAAACCTTCCTTTTACACTGTATCATCTCAACTAGTGAATCCAAGATTGTGGAGGGTTAAATTGAACCACCTCTTTTGATCTACTCTACTAAGATGGAGTCAGAAAAATAAAGTCCTTAAAGATGCCTAAAATGTGTCCAGATGTACACTTCTTGCCAACCAGGCAGGAATCTGAGTGACCAAGAGACTAGGATTTTGAATTAGAACCACGTGCTCCACCTATTTAAAAAAGTAACTAAATTGAATTATTTTCAAAAATAGATAACGACACTTTATCATTTGAAATAATATACAAAGTATGCAACAGTTACTATAGTAGAAATTTAACAGGTAATAAAATATTTTTTGGTTGTGGTTTTTGTGTGTATGTATTTGTTATTGTGTGTTTCGTGGATATTACTGTCTGCCTTGTGTTTTGGGTTTGTTTTTTGTTTTTGAATTCTTCCATTTTTATTTTACTTGGAAGCATCATTTATGATGTTTTTGTTTTCATAATGCAGACGGTATCCAACTGTTGAAAAACGAGCCAAAGTCTTCAATGGAGCAACTTATATGCCTATTCCTGAAGATGATCCCTTTCTTAAAGCACTACTCTTCGAACTTAGATTATTGGATGATGATAAGGACTTCGTGGAAAGTCGTGATAGCTGTTCACACATCAATAAAACATCCATCTATGGACTCCCAGTAGGAGGTGAAGAACTCTGGCCAGTTGTTGCTTTTCAGAAGAATGGCATGATATATGCTTGTGTTCCACTAGTTGAACAGACTTTGTCCCCTCGTCCACCATTAATTAGCATTAGTGGAATTTCACAAGGCTTTGAACTTCTTTTTGGAATACAGGATTTTCTTTATTCAGGTCAAAAAAATGACACTGAGCTAAATACAAAATTGAGCCAGTTGCCTGACTTGCTTCTACAGGCTTGTCCATTTGGAACTTTATTAGATGCCAATTTACAGAATTCATTGGATAGTATTAATTTTGCTTCTGTGACTCATCCACAAAAACAGCCAGCCTGGAAAGCTGGAACATACAAAGGCAAACCACAGGTTTCTATTTCAATCACTGAAAAGGTAAAATCCATGCAATATGATAAACGGGATGTAGCAGATACGTGGCAAGTTGATGGAGCTGTCACTTGCAAGGTGAGATTTTTCTCTGCTACTTGTTTTATCATTCCATTTAACATCTGTGGAGAGAAGTAAAATTTGCTAACTTTGTTTTACATTGTTGTATGACATTCTTGATTTTTATTAGAAACAGCAGTCACTGAATGTTAGATTCATGTGAAATTTTGTGATATTACCTTTCTGCATTTCTTACTAATTGTATTAGTTATATATTGCTGTGTAATGAATTGCCACATTCCTCCAACAGTAAACATTTACCCTTCTAGTTTCGGTGGGTCAAGACTTCAGGAGCAGCTTAACTGGGAGCTTCTAGTGTGAAATCTCTCAAGAAATCAAGATTTCGGCTGGAGCTTTAGTCTCCTACAGATTTGATTGGGGCTGGGAGATCTACTTGCAAGGTGGCTGACTCACATGGCTGGCAAGTTAATGCTGCTTATTGGTGGAAGGCCTCAATTCCTTTCCATGTGGACTTCTCAACAGGCCACCTAAGAATGGCTCACAGCTTGGTGATTGGGTTCCCGTAGATCAAATGATGAGAGAGAGAGAAGGTTAGAAAATAGGAAAAGACAATAGAAATAACAATACAGCTAGCAGTGATCAGTGCCATGTTGAACATGATCAAAAATAAAAACCCTCCAAGTACAATTTCTACAAGTGCATATTAATAATATTCTCAAATGTCTTTATTTTTCTAATATCTTCCTTTACTCTTTGCACTTATGAATATAAAACTTTTTTACATATCAAACTTAATGTCGATTGGCTATGTACAAATCATATAGATAAAAGTAGATTTTAAGAACTGAGAATTAGAAGAATCCTGGCAGACAAATTGGGTATTTCTTTTCCTTTTTAACCCTAAAAGTGACTTAAGATTTTATGTGTCTATTTTACTCACTTCCATCATGATCAAAAATACATTCCAGTTATTAACTTCATTAGAAAAAACTAATGTAAATAGCTCCAAAATTGAGGTGTTTGTGAATTATGTCATTCATAAGTCTTAAAGTAGTTGAATCCTTTTTTCTCACAAGTTCTGTGAAATAGCAGTAGGAAAACTCACCACTTCTTTTTTTTCATTCTGTGGCAATAAATAGGGAATATGTTATGTATACTTGACTACTAATTAATATGGTTGGTGTTTAAATGTCTCAGCTCACTGATAGGCCGACTCTAGTTTATTGCTTATGGGAATTTTGGATTGGTTTCTATTTCTAGTCTGATGCAAATTATCATGATGGAGAACTTTCTTTTTTAAAAAACTTTCTTCTAAAAATAAAAAGAATGGGGATGTACCTTAACCCATGTATTAAATATTTCTTTAAGCTTGTATGTAAATAGTACAACTCTTAGGCAAACTTTTTTTAAGTACTTTCAGGAGCTTAATGTTTAAAGGAGTTTTATTGTGAAGCCTGTTGTAGATGGAAATAGTTATCTTCATTTTATCTTAGTACTAGTAGGAAACCTGGCAAACCAAAAACCAGTAGGCTGAAGTTCTAGTCCTCACTCCACCACTAATTCTTTGTGTGTCTTTAGGAAAGTCACACAAATTTTTGAATCTTTTCTCATTTTTAAAATCGGGTAAGTTCCTAGGTCCCTTTTCTTTTTATGATTCCTAGTTACAAGTCCAGCTATACATATGTTAGATTGGTATAAAGGGTGGTGGACAGATTTATTCTAGAATGGATATCCTCATTCCCGAGTAAATGGTTGGTGATCTAGCATATTAAATGCCTCAGGAGTGGATAATTTGTTGGTGGTTTCCTTAATGGTTGCATATTTCTGATTCCTTTAAAATGTTAGACTGTTAGAGGCTAATTTAATAAATACAAGCTGAATGTTTAAAAATGTTAACAGTATTTGCTATTAATATTTGCCCCTTTTATTATCTCCATAAATATCTGTCAAAAAACGAAACTTTTCTTTTGTTCTTGCTAGTTCACATATAGAGAGTGAATTAGCAGATGGTTTAAAAGTTGAAACACATATTTTTAAGTTTATAGTTAGGCTGTTTGGCATTTTTATTTTCAAATGTGATGGACATTCTTGTAACTGACACCAAAAGACCTTTATAAGGCACTGATTATACTTGGTACTGTTCATAATGCCTGCCTGCTCTCTAAGTGCTTACATTGTGTAGCAGATATATTTTTGAGTTCACGCATATGTCAAGCAGCAGATAAAACATAAAAAACTGAAACATTTATATTAGAATGGAAAACAAAGATAGGGTCCATAATTAGAAAAAGATATCCATTCAGCAAACATTTTTTGTCACTTGCAATAGCAATGTGCTAGGCACTAGAAGTACAAAGAAAAATATAGCACTTCTTGCTTTCAAAGAACTTAAAGCTTCAAGAGGGAAACAAACAGGGGCACAGAGAAATACTGGTGGGGGTGGGCAGTTATTATATGATCCAGACTGTGTATGTGATAGTCGAACCAGCTGCTTGCCTTTGGAGCTAAGCATTATACCTACTGAGTTCCACTGACTTAAAACACTGTGCGGGTCTAGCCAAACAAAACTTACCAGTAAGCCTTATATGGCTCAATTGGCTGGTTTTAATTCAGTGCTTTAATAGAGGTGAATATGAAGTTAAGAGTTGAGGTACAAAGGAAGAACCTGACTACCCTACCACACACACAAACACACACACACACAAAAGATGTATAAGTCTGGGTGGGTCAGAAAAGAAACCGCTACAAGATTTATGGGAGTAAAGGTGTAATATATTAATATATGTAATATAATATATATGTATAAGTTACATATAATATATGTAATATAAAAGAATAAAATTATTTGTAATATAAAAATGTATATATTAATATAGGAATTAGGGCTTACTCAAGTATGAGAGGAGCTGAGAGAATAAAAGTCTCTGATCCTCTGGCTGCAGCCTTCCAGAAATTGCCGCTAATGACTCCAGTCTGGAGACTGGAGGTAGATAGAGAAGCCAGAGTTCACGGAGAAGTCTGAGAAGCCGCTACGTCTGTGTTACAACCTCAAAGCAGGAATGCATGGAAAGGTCTGTGAAAGTGCTGCATCTGGCCACTGTAGCCTTAAAGCAGGAGGTCAGAGAGGTCTGTGAAGCTGTCATATTCAGCTTCTGTGACCTTCCAAGAATACTGGCTTCCCTTTCGCTTCGACCTTCCAAGTCTCTCATGAGTACCTCTTACTGGTAAACCACCACAGACCACAGAGGAAAAGAAGATCCTGGGCTTCTCTACATGGCAGAGGTAGAGCTATGGAGATGATGATACAGAACATACGGCTTCACACAAAGCATCAAATGAGCTGAGTTTACAAAGAGAAAAGAAGTTTCTAGCTGGAGGAGACTAGCTCATACAAAAGCATGGTGGTATAAGACATGATTTATTCAGGGAAATTCAAGAATCCAGTATGTCTCCAGCCTAAGTTACAGGGTAGAAAATGATTAAAGAGATAGATGGGAGGCAAACAATGAAAGACTTTTAAAACTAATTCAAAACGGAGGGGGGACTATTTAAAGCTCTTGAGCATGGATACAATATACTTAGAGTTTTCTTTCATTAAGGTAACTGACGCTGATCGAGAATGGATTGATTAGAGGAAAGCAAATTTAGATACATTTAGAGGGCTATAGCAGAAATAATAAGGGCCTGTAAAATGTGTTTGCAACAGGAATGGAGAGAAGTTAGGGATTTAAAATAGCTTTTTAAGGGTTTTAGATGTAAGCAGAGGGCTCTAGGAAGGCTCTCCTGGTCTCTAGCATAGGTGTCTGAGAGCATGATAGAACCATTAACCAGAACACAGAAAACAAGGAGACCCATAACTTGAGAGAAAAGTGAATGACATTGTGGAAATTGACTCAGATAAATTCAGAAAGCCTCACCCGGAAGCGGTATGCTTCTAAGATCTTGGTAATATCTGTTTCTTTTTGTATTGCAGTGTGATTTAGAAGGAATCATGCCGAATGTTACCATCAGCTTGAGTCTCCCCACCAATGGATCTCCACTTCAGGATATTCTAGTTCATCCTTGTGTGACTTCTCTTGACTCTGCCATTCTGACGTCTAGTAGCATTGATGCAATGGATGATTCTGCATTTAGTGGACCTTATAAATTTCCATTCACTCCACCTTTAGAGTCATTCAACTTATGCTACTACACTTCCCAGGTAAGCAACCTTGGAAAAGTTGAGACTTTACTAATCTTCATATTTATGAGTTCTGTTATAAGCAAATCATTTATACTTTTGGTCCAAATGAAAACTTTTCATGAGTTGTTTACCAGACAATAATTGATGAATGAAGATGAAGATTCAGTTCTTTGAATAGGATACGTTTTACCCCTGTTCTGTGACAGCATTAAATGGCTTTCGAAGTCATGAGATTTACTCTTTTTTTGATGTTCCCTAAGAAGGAGTAGATCCTGGTATGATTTAGTCATGATTTAAACCATAAACTTAAAATACCTCTAATCGCAGCAACTGTGGTTACAAATACATAATATTATTAGTAGTATTTATTGCTTATTGCATAACTGTTGTGTGTCAGACATTGTCATAAGTACTTTACCCATATTTTCTCTAGTACTTTCAGAACACTTCAAGTAGGTATTATTAGCCCCATTTTATAGATGAGGAGAGTCTCAGAGAAGTTAAATGACTTGTGCAGGGTCCTATAACTAATAAGTAGCAGAGCCTAGATTTGAACCCACATTTTCCAGACTCCAAAACCCAACCTCTTTTTTACTATACCATTTGTCTCTTGTCCTAATTGTGAATCAGTAGTTTAGAAAAATCTACTCAAGCTAACTTTAAGTAAGGAGTATTTATTCTGAGAATGAGAGAGGCAGTTTCATTGCCATTCAAGGACAAGAAGTACACCCAGGTCGTACTAGGACTAGACCAGAAAATAAAAATTAAAATCACTCTACACTGTTTCTTTCATCTCTGCTTCTCAGTCTGTTCCAATTGGCTTTCTCTGCTTGCACATGACGTACAGCTCTAGGACCTATGCTGAATAAGTAGAGTCTCTCTATTTCTTACTTCAGATGTACCAGAAAGAGTGAATTGGTCACACCAGCCTGCATATTGTTTCTTCTTCAATCAGTTACTGATAACCAATTGAGTAAGCTACTGCAGAGCTTGGGGCTGGGGGAGTCACAAGATACAAATGGGCCAGCAGGAACTGTGGGCAGGGCTTAGTGATGGATATGTCTATAGCGCATCCCGTGTTGCAGGTCACAGAGAACCTGGAGGAGGCGAACCCAGATGAGCAGGAATAGGAAAAAATGCACTGCACACCTTTGTAAGGCACCTTTCTCATCTCTGGAAACAGAGAGATGGAGGAATTCCTGTCCTTAAAACAAATGTAGCTCCATCATCTATTATCAAAACAACTTGGGGTAATCCATTAATCATTAAAGACATCTGTACATAATGACTATATTACTGCAAGGCTTTTTTCCTCAATCACCATTGATATTTTAGACTCATTAACCTGAGAATTATATAAAAATTTGTTTGTTTTTTTTTCCAGGTCCCTGTCCCACCAATTTTGGGTTTTTATCAAATGAAAGAGGAAGAAGTACAACTAAAAATAGCAGTTAATTTAAAACTTCATGAGAGTGTGAAAAATAATTTTGAATTCTGTGAAGCCCATATACCATTTTACAATAGGTAAGAGTAAAGTAACATATGCCATGATTTCTGCCTGCCTTAGTACATTCCCACTGCCCTACAATAAATTTTGTTTTATTTATATATTTTAATATATATAAATATATATTTTTTGTATATTTATTTATATAAGATCTAAAGGTTTTATGTTATTCAAATGAATATTGATTCTGAACCAAAACATAGTCATAAAAATAATCTCTTTACCTTTAAATGTGTCTTTATTTTTCTGGATAAACTTGATAGTAAATATAAACTTAAGCCAACATAGCTTCCTCAGGGATTATTTCACTCCTGGCTTTATTTCTGGTAATTTCTCTACTCTACATGCAAGTCAAGCCCAGCTATCAACTACCTGGTGAATTAAGCCAGTAATGTCATAGATTACTTCCTCATCAGTTCTACTTTTAAGTTTGTTCTACACCATACTTCTTTTCAAAACCTAAATATATAGTAAAATCATAGTTTTAATGTTATATCAATCCATGTAGTTGCATTAACACATTCTATATGATTTTATATTGTCTTTGGAATTAGTAATGAAATGTATATCATCATCAAAAATGTTTATTGTGTTTCTGGTGTTTTTTGAGATGTAATATTCATTATTTGTTCTACTCTATTCTGCAGACTTGAACACAGGTCTGCTTTTATGCTGTCCTTGTATTAAGTAACAGTAGCAAGATTTGACTTAGATCTCTTAACACTGTTATATCTGTGATCATTTTTTCTTTCTGTCGTGTCCTTTTCTGTTTTAAAGAGGTCCAATCACACATGTGGAATACAAAGTTAGTTTTGGCCAGCTCGAAGTATTTCGAGAGAAAAGCTTATTGATCTGGATTATCGGTGAGCTAGGTTTTGCTTATTGACTTTTTTTCATTTATTTGCTATAGAATCTACTTAATTTAGGATACTTGATTGCTGTACTTGTGTTTTTAGGACAGAAGTTCCCAAAATCAATGGAAATTGGTCTTTCTGGAACTGTAACTTTTGGAGCCAAGGGTCATGAGAAGCAGCCGTTTGACCAGATTTGCATTGGAGGTACAGCATATTTAAAGGTAAATACATTTTTATGGCTCACTATACTAGAAAACTTTCTTTTGTTTCTAAATTATACATAAGTAATTGATTTTTAATGTTTTCTAGCCTTTTTTGGAGGGAAGGGGATTCTGTTCTTTCTGTTTATGCTAAGTTCTTGTTTAGAGTTTTGCGAGATTCTTTTTTGCTTAGTATTAGTCACCTTCTATTTCACTTAATACTTTAAAAATTTTAAGGAGAAACAGTGAAGTATAACATAAACACCTCAACTTAACCTAGTTCTACACAGTTCTTAGTTGTCGTATTTGAGATTTACATACAAAAAATATAAAATATAGTCTTGCCCTCCAGAGATTTTTCAATGATGCATGTCAATAATTGATCAGTGCTAACAACTTTTGGTGTTTCAAGGAAAGAATGAGCACTTCTGACCACAGTGGCCAAGGAAAACTTTGCAGTAGAGATGGAGTTTAAACAAAACTCTGAGGCCCAGATAAGCATGAACATGAAGCCTTGAAGATTGACTAACATTTGTATAGGTAAAGAAATGACCTAATCACAGGAATGAAAGATAACAAGGCATGGTTAGGAACCAGTGCTAGAAACAATAAGGGATTTAGGTCTGGATCGTAGAGGGTTTGAATCTGACTTTTATTCCTTTGTTAGAAAATGTTATACTTTTTTTGACTGTGAGAGTGGTCTTTCACAAAGTAATACTTGGTGAAGATCAATCTGGAATAGATGTGACAAAGGTGAGTGGAAAAAAAACTTGAGACAAAAAACCAAACTACTTTTTAGCTATATTGGTATTCCACATGAAAGGTAAAAAGATAATGATGCTGAGCTAGTATAGTAGCACAGAATGAGAAAAGAAGAGAGAGAATGGAAGAGACTGCTGTAAGAGCTGTGATAAAGGTAAGGCCTCGAGGCTGGCCCCATGGCTGAGTGGTTAAATTCATGTGCTCTGCTTCGGCAGCCCAGCGTTTCGCCGTTTCCGATCCTGATCGCAGACCTAGCACCAGTCATCAAGCCATGCTGACATGGCATCCCACAGAGTAGAACCAGAAGGACCTACAACTAGAATATACAGCTATGTGCTTGGGGGATTTGGGGAGAAGAAGAAGAAAAAATAAGACTGGCAATAGTTGTTAGCTCAGGTGCCAATCTTAAGAAAAAAAAGGTAAGGCGTTGGTCACTAGTTAAATATAGAGACAAGAAATAGTTTTAAGTCAAAGATGGTTTATTTAAAAAAATACCTTAACTCAGACTTGAACCTACAAGAGGACAGAGACCCTATGAATCTAATTCTTTCTTGTTTTTTTCTTTATTATTTTATCAAGGTCATATAGTTTATAACATTGTGAAATTTCAGTTATACATTATTATTTGTAAGTCACCATATAAATGTGCCCCTTCACCCCTTGTGCCCATCCCCCCCAAACCCCTTGCCTCTGGTAACCACTCAACTGTTCTTTTTTTCCGTGTGTTAGTTTATCTTACACATATGAGTGAAATCATATAGTGTTTGTTTTTCTCTGTCTGGCTGATTTTGCTTAACATAATACTCTCAAGGTCCATCCATGTAGTCGCAAATGGGACTATTTTGTCTTTTTTCCTGGCTGAGTAGTATTCCATTGTATATATGTACCATGTCTTCTTTATCCAGCCATCAGTCAATGGGCGCTTGGGTTGCTTCCATGTCTTGACTATTGTGAATAATGCTGCAGTGAACATAGGGGTGCGTAAGTCTCTTTGGATTGTTGATTTCAGCTTCTTTGGATAAATACTCAGTAGTGGGATAGCTGGGTTGTATGGTATTTTTATTTTTAATTTTTTGAGAAATCTCCATGCTGTTTTCCATAGTGGCTGCACCAGTTTGCATTCCCACCAGCAGTGTACGAGGGTTCCCTTTTCTCTACATCCTCTCTAACATTTGCTATTTTTTGTCTTCGTGATTATAGCCATTCTAATGGGTGTAAGGTGATATCTTAGTGTAGTTTTGACTTGCATTCCCTGATGGTTGGTGATATTGAACATCTTTTCATGTGCCCATTGGCCATCTGTGTATCTTCTTTGGAAGAATGTCTGTTCATATCCTCTGCCCATTTTTTGATCGAGTTTGTTTTTTTGTTGTTGAGTTGTGTGAATGCTTTATATATTTTGGAGATTAATCCCTTGTCGGATATATGATTTGCAAATAGGTTGTCTTTTCATTTTGTTCATGATGAAGCCCCACTTGTTAATTTTTTCTTATGTTTCCCTTGCCCAAGTAGACATGGTATTTGAAAAGATCCTTCTAAGACTGATGTCAAAGAGTGTACTGCCTATATTTTCTTCTAGGAGTTTTATGGTTTCATGTCTTACCTTCAAGTCTTTAGTCCATTTTGAGTTAATTTTTGTGTATGGTGAAACATAATGGTTTCCTTTCATTCTTTTGCATGTGGCTGTCCAGTTTTCCCAACACCATTTATTGAAGAGGCTTTCCTTTCTCCATTGTATGTTCTTAGCTCCTTTGTCGAAGATTAGCTGTCTGTAGATGTGTGGTTTTATTTCCAGGCTTTCAGTTCGGTTCCATTGATCTGTGTGTCTGTTTTTCTACCACTACTGTGCTGTTTTGATTACTACACCTTTGTAGTGTATTTTGAAATCAGAGATTGTGTTGCCTCTGACTTTGTTCTTTTTTCTCAGGATTGCTTTAGCTATTCAGGGTCCTTTGTTCCCCCCATATGAATTTTTAGGATTCTTTGTTCTATTTCCATAAAGAATATCATTGGGGTTCTGATTGAGATTGCATTGAATCTGCAGATTGCTTTAGGTAGCATGGACATTTTAGCTACATTTATTCTTCCAATCCATGTGCATGGAATATCTTTCCATTTCTCAATGTCATTGATTTCTTTCAATAATGTCTTAAGTTTTCATTGTATAGGTCTTTCACCTCCTTGGTTAAATTTATTCCTAGATATTTTATTCTTTTTCTTTCGATTGTAAATGCGATTATATTCTTGAGTTCTCTATGTTAGTTCATTATTACAGTATCAAAATACCATTGATTTTTGTAAGTTGATTTTGTACCCTGCAACTTTGCTGTAGTTATTATTTCTCATAGTTTTCTGAGGGATTCTTTAGCATTTTCTATACATAAAATCATATTGTTTGCAAACAGCAAGAGTTTCACTTCTTCATTGCCTATTTCAATTCCTTTTATTTATTTTTCTTGCCTAATTGCTCTGGCCAAAACCTCCAGTACTGTGTTGAATAAGAGTGGGCACCCTTGTCTTGTTCCTGTTCTGAAAGGGATGGCTTTCAGTTTTTCCCCATTGAGTGTGATGTTGGCTATGGGTTTGTCATATATGGCCTTTTGTATGTTGAGGTACTTTCCTTCTATACCCATTTTATTGATATTTTTATCATAAATGGATATTGGATCTTGTCACATGCTTTCTTTGCATCTATTGAGATGATCATGTTGTTTTTATTCCTCATTTTGTTAATGTGGTATGTCACATTAATTGGTTTGCAGATGTTGAACCATTCCTGTGTCCCTGATATAAATCCCACTTGATCATGGTGTATGATCTTTTTGTGTATTGCTTTATTCAGTTTGACAATATTTTGTTGAGGGTTTTTACATCTATGTTCGTCAGCAATATTGGCCTGTAATTTTCCTTCTTTGTGTTGTCCTCATCTAGCTTTGGGATCAGGGTAATGTTGGCCTTGTAAAATGTGTTAGGAAGTGTTCGATCTTCTTCAACTTTTTGGAATAGTTTGAGAGGGATAGGTATTACATTTTCTTTGAATGTTTGGTAGAATTCTCCAGAGAAACCATCTGGTCTTAGACTCTTTTTGGAAGATTTTTGATTACTGTTTGAATCTCTTTACTTGTGATTGGTATATTCAGATTCTCTATTTCTTCTTGATTCAGTTTTTAGAGATTGTATCAGTCTAAGAATTTATCTATTTCTTCTAGATTGTCCAATTTGTTGGCATATAGTTTTTCATAGTATTCTCTTATAATCTTTTGTATTTCTGTAGTATCCATTGTAATCTCTCCTCTTTCATTTCATTTTTTTTTTTTTAAAGATTGGCACCTGAGCTAACAACTGTTGCCAATCTTTTTTTTTTTTTGCTTTTTCTCCCCAAATCCCCCCAGTACATAGTTGTATATTCTATTTGTGGCATGTGGGATGCCGCCTCAACATGGCCTGATGAGCCATGTCCACGTCCAGTATCTGAACTGGCCAAACCTTGGGCCACCGAAGCAGAGCATGTGAACTTAACCACTCAGCCATGGGGCCAGCCTCTCCTGTTTCATTTCTAATTTTATTTATTTGAGACTTCTCTCTTTTTTTCATAGTGAGTCTGGCTAAGAGTTGGTCAATTTTGTTTATCTTCTCAAAGTACTAGCTGTTTGCTTCATTGATCCTTTCTACTGTTTTATTGGTTTCCATTTCATTTGTTTCTGCTCTAATTTTTATTATTTCCCTCCTCCTGACTTTGGGTTTTGTTTGTTCTTTTTCTAATTCAGTTAGGTGTAGTTTAAGATTGCTTATTTGAGATTTTTCTTGTTTGTTAAGGTGGGCCTGTGTTGCTATGAATTTCCCTCTTAGGACCACTTTTGCTACCTCCCATATGAGTTGGTATGGTGTATTTTCATTTGTCTCCAGATATTTTCTGATTTCTCCTGTAATTTCTTCAATGATCCATTGGTTGTTCGGTAGCATGTTGTTTAGTCTCCACATATTTGTCACTTTCCCAGCTGTTCTCTTGTAATTGATTTCTAGTTTCATAACATTATGGTCAGTAAAGATGCTTGATATGATTTCAACCTTCTTAAATTTATTGAAGCTTCCCTTGTTTCCCAGCATATGGTCTGTCATTGAGAATGTTCCATGTGTACTTGAGAAGAATGTGTATAGTGCTGTTTTTGGATGGAATATTCTGTGTATATATATATGAAGTCTGTCTGGTCTAGTTTTTCATTTAAATCCATTATTTACTTCTTGACTTTCTGTCTGGATGATCTATCCATTGATGGAAGTGAAATGGTAAATTCTTCTACTGTTATTATGTTGTTGTTAATGTCTCCTTTTAGGTTTGTTAATTGTTGCTTTCGGTACTTTGGTGCTCCTGTGTTGGGTGCATGTATATTTATAAGTATTACATCTTTTTAGTGGAGTGTCCCTTTTATTATTATATACTGCCCCTCTTTGTCTCTCATTGCCTGTTTTATCTTGAAGTTTGCTTTGTCTGATATAAGTATGGCAACGTCTGCTTTCTTTTGTTTACCATTAGCTTGGAGTATTGTCTTCCATCCCTTCTTTCTGAGCTTGTGTTTGTCTTTAGAGCTGAGATGTGTTTCCTGGAGACAGCATATTGTTGGATTTGTTTTTTAGTCCATCCCACCACTCTGTGTCTTTTGATTGGAGAATTCAATCCATTTACATTTAAAGCGATTAGTGATATATGAGGGCTTAATGCCGCCATTTTATCACTCATTTTCCAGTTCTGTATTTCTCTTGTTTCTTGTCCCATGTATTTCAGACTACTAATTCTGTTTGGTAGTTCTCTATGATAGTTTTCTCTATTATTTGTGTCTCTGTTCTGATTATTTATTTAGTGGTTACCATGACGTTTGTATAAAAAATCTTGTAGATGAGATAATCCATTTTCTCATAGCTTATTTCCTTAGACTAAGCCTATTCCATCCATTTCCTCTTCCTCTTCTAAGTTATTGTTGTCACAATTTATTCCATCTTGTGTTGTAAGTTTGTGGTTAAAATGATGAGATTATATTCATTTTTGATGTTTTCTTTCCCTTTATCTTTAATGTTATAATTAAGTGTTTGCTAGTCTGTTCTGATAGAGAGCTGCAATTTTCTGATTTTTGCCTGCCTATTTATCTCCTTGCTCAAGGCTTTGTAGACCCTTGCTTCTTTTTTTTTTTTTCAGGTATGAGGGCCTTCTTGAGCATTTCTGGTGGCGGGGGTGGAGATCTTGTGGTGATGCCCTTAACTTTTGTTTATCTTGGAAAATTTTCATTTCTCCATCATATCTGAAGTATATTTTTGCGAGATAGAGTATTCTTGGCTGAAAGGTTTTTTCTTTCAGAATTTTGAATATATCTTTCCACTCTCTCCTAGCCTGTAAGGTTTCTGCTGAGAAATCCGTTGAAAGCCTGATAGGGGTTGCTTTGTAAGTTATTTTCTTCTGCCTTGCTGCCCTTAATATTTTTTGTTTGTCATTAACTTTTGCCAGTTTTACTACTATATGCCTTGGAGAAGGCCTTTTTACATTGATATAATTAGGAGTTCTATTAGCTTCTTTTACTTGTATTTCCAGCTCCTTCCCCAGATTTAGGAAGTTCTCAGCTATTATTTCTTTGAACAGGCTTTCTGCTCCATTCTTCTTCTCTTCTCCCTCTGGCTTACCTGTACTCCATATGTTGCATTTCCTAATTGAGTCAGATACTTCTCGGAGAATTTCTTCATTTCTTTTTAGTCTGTCTCTCCTCCATCTGAAGCATTTCTATATTTCTGTCCTCCAGACTGCTAATTCTATTCTCCACAATATCAGCTCTGTTATGCAGGGAGTCCAGATTTTTCTTTATCTCATCCATTATGTATTTCATCTCTAACATTTGATTGGTTTTTATTTATAGTTTCAATCTGTTTTCTGAAGAATTCCCTCTGTTCATTAATTCTGTTCCTGATTTCATTGAACTATCTGTATTGTCTTGTAACTCACTGAGTTTTTATGGTAGCTATTTTGAATTCTCTGTCATTGAGATTATAAATTTCTGTGCCTTCAGGATTGACTTCTCAGTGCTGTCATTTTCCTTCTGGTCTGGAGTATTAATATATTTATTCATACTATTTCATGGCATGGATTTGTGACTTTGTGTAGATAGCATCTGGTCGCAGCTTCCATCTGCCACCACTGGGTAGGGGGTCAAAAAATGTGTATTCTGAGCTGGCTGTGACCCCTGGTGTCTGTGCTTTTCTGTGATTGCTGGTTGGCTCGCTCACAGCTACTGCTTTTCTAACTTATATGTGGGCGCTCTGGCCAACTGGCTAAGCTGGAGCGCTGGGCAGGGGGAGGGGTGCTTTCTTTTGCCTGTGTGATCCAGGGGGCATTCTCGCTCTGCCCTCACTATCTGCTTTCCTGGGGTGCTGGCTTGATGAAGACACCCCTGCGGTAGCTGAGCCACCTCTGTGTGGGGCTTTCCCATGAGCTGAGAGGGAACTTGGAGAGCAAAGGTGTTCCCGTGGAGGGCCTCCCCTCCCCCATCTTTTCTCTGAGCCGTGCACAGTCCCATGCCCTGGGTTGCTGCCATTTGGGAGGGAGAGGAGATCCCCTTGCCTCCATCTACTTCTTCCAGGCTGTCCAGCACATAAAACTTCAGATGTATGGCTGTGTGGGTCTCTCAGACGTGTTTTGTGTTGTGTGAATATCCTCTGTTGGTTTATGAGTGTCCTTTTCATTGTATCGTAGTGGGGAGAGTCTAAGGGAAGAGCTCACTCCTCCATGATGCTGATGTCACTCTCATTGATTCATTGTTTTATCACTAACATCTAGTGTAGTACCTTTCCTGCAAATAATTGATGAATGGATGAATATAGTTAGAAGGAAGTACAGATATGGAGAAAGTAAGTTGAGAGAGAGTAGGCTTCATATCATGTTTGTTGCTGGTGATAGCAACATATCCCAATGTACGTGTCCAATAAGTAGCTGAAAACCTGAAGCCTGACTTTCAAGAGAGAGCTTAACTGTGATTAAGGATTTAGGAGTTATCCGTGGAGAAGAAATATTTGAGGCAGTGGAAATGAATAAGATCAGATAAAGATAAAATAGGAGATAGATACAGAAGAACCAATGAGGGAAATTGAAGGGTGATCAAAAAGTTAGCGGGAAAAGCTAAATAGAGTGATATTAAAGAAGAAATATTGAAATCTGTACACAAGAGTTCCACTTCTGGGTATTTATCAAAAGAAAATGAAAACACTAATTTGAAAAGATATATGCACCCGTATGTTCATTGCAGCATTATTTACAATAACCAAGATATGGATTCAACTAAGTGTCCATCAGTAGATAAATGGATTAAGAAGATATGACATATATATATATATATATATAAAGTCAGACAAAGAAAAAAGAATACTGTATGATTTCACTTATATGTGGAATCTAAAAAAAACAAAACAGAAACAGATTCATAGATACAGAGAACAAATTAGTGGTTGCCAGAGGAGGTGGGGTGGAGGGAAGGGCAAAATAGATGAAGGGGATTAAGAGATACACACTTCCAGCCATAAAATAAATAAGTCTTGCGGATATCATGTACAGCATAGGGAATATAGTCAACAATATTGTAATAACTGTATGATGGTAGATGGTTATTAGTCTTATCAGGCTGATCGTTTTATAATGTATATAAACGTCAAAGCATTATGTTGTACACCTGAAACTAATCCAATATTGTATGTCAACTAATCTTCAATAAAAAATAATAAACGCTAGTAATTTGGATATATTGGGTTATATAAAATATATTACTAACATTTTTTTTAAAGCAATTAGGGGAAATGGTAGTGAAGTCAGAAGTATACTAGTGATATTCATTTCTTCTATCTTGTCTTCAACTATGTCCACAAGCTTTGTTTCTGTCACCTAACCAGTTATAGTCTCATTGAAAGCATGTAACACAGATTTGTGTTAATTAAATAGGTTTATTTTTATATCATCTATTTACATGGAAATCAACCTTGTCATAACTTCCAGCATCCATAATTATACCAAAGAAGCAAGCAAAAGCCCTTTACTATTAAAGATCATTTGAATTGCAACAGGAAAAGTACTGCTGAGAAGATCTAAAAATTACATTCTACGCATGTGATCATTTAGTTTGGCAATCTAAAGGAGAAAGTTAGGAAATGGGAGAAACTTGCGGGGTAGGGAGATAGAAGAAAAAAGTACAGAAAAGATACTAGGATATTGCAAATTCGGGAGCCTTTAGCAGCAAAGATGAGGAGAACCACAGTAAAAGGAGACTGGAGCTCCTTAAGACATACACCTTTCATTGTTCATGTGAATATCAGTGTGACCCAGAGACACCCCAGTGCTTTGCCTTCAGAGAAGCTACTAATCGCCCTCTGTTATAGCGCAGTGTAGTAATTGGCATTTATACTGATGACGCCACATTATCAATTAAGTGCAGGAAGTATGGATTACATTTTAGGAAGGTTTTTTTAGGTGAGAGAAGGGGTGATTTTTAAGGTTAGTTCTGTAAAAGTTAAATTTTACTTTTCTGAAAAATTAAGTAGGGCATCTCATTCTTTCCAAACACCAGATAAACTGGTGTTTCTGTTTTAGTAATTGCATTCTTGTGTTTTGCCAGAAAGTGTATGTATTTCTGTTAAAGAAAGTATTATGATCTGAAATATATCACAACCACATAGCCTTAGAGATGAAGAGAATATACAGAACATCAGGCCCCATAGGGGAAGGAGCACCAGCTCTTGTGATCAGTTGGGTCTGGGTTCAAATGCTGGGTCTCCTACTTACATGCTGAGATGCTAATTGCTTCCATCTCTGAACCTCAGTTCCCTCATTTGTAAATAGGGGTGCCTTGCGGTATGGATTAGAGTTCATATTAGTGAAGCACTTGGTATGTGTTAAGGACTTCATAATGGCAGGCTTACAAAGAAATGGCCCTAGTGCAAAGGAGAAAAAGTGTGTATATGTGTGCGTATGCACAAACACACACACACCATATTCAAGTTTAATGTTTGTGATTTTTATTTTGTGAACTGTGTGAAATAAAATTCCTAAAATTGTGTCAAGGAAAAAAATGTGACTATCATTTTTACCAAATAATCACCTCAATTTCTTACATTCTCTTCTTTTTTAGCTTCATTTTAGGATCTTAGATTACACACTCACTGGATGTTATGCAGATCAGCATTCAGTTCAAGTTTTTGCATCAGGAAAACCAAAAATAAGTACAAGTAAGTTTTACAGATTCAAACTAATGTGAGGGAATTAAAATAATATTATGTAATTATTCCCTAAGGTAAAATGTAACAGAAAGAGATCGGAGAATAATCCCACTTTATAAAAAGTCTGGCCTGATCCCGTCCTGTGTGACGGTTTGTGTACTTTGCATTGCCCTCTGCCTTCTGTTTGTGAAACAGTCTGGACGAGCAAAGATAGGCACAGAGGTGGGCTTTAGGATAAAGTTGGATTTGGTTTTGCTGTAGTTATAATAAACTCCCTGATTCAGATTGTTCCCAGGGGCTTTGGTGTTGGGCAGACAAGGGGTTGGGTCTGGTTTGGACAGTTTATAGTTTATTAGCTGTGTAACTGGACAAGCTAGTGAACGTCTCAAAGTTTTAGTTTCCTCATCTATAAAATGGAAATAATAGTATTATTTACCTCAGGATTGTTATGAGGTTTAAATAAAATTATATTAACTAAGCACTTAGCATGATGCTTAGCTTGTGGCATGGACTCAGGAAGTGTTCGGTATAATTACTATTAAATTTTAAATGTTTTTAGCAAATGTTGTAGCCAATGAGCATTATTTAGCACTCTCTCTATTTTATGAAAGGAGGGCAATGGAAAGAAGATTTCCTGCCTTCAGTGAGTTTGTTGGTTGTGAAAATATGTAGAGTATATGAAAACATAGGGAGATAAAAAGCAACTAATAAATGCATTCAGAATTATTTAATTCAGATCAAATATATATCTGTGGCATAGAACAGAAAAGTAGCTAGAATGAGGTGTAGAGTTAGCTAACATAAGTAGAAATCTTTTGCCTTATATATTAAAGAGAATAAAGCTATTATATTTAGATAAATATTTCTTAAACTAAGGATTAGGATTAAAACTAAGGATTAAACTAAAATAGGTAGGCTAGGGCTGGATTTTGTATTTGAAAGTTTCAAAAGAATACTGAATTCTAAGCAATCACTTGTGAATGGCAATAATAAATTCTGTTTAATGTAACCAGAATAAGCTGTATTCTTTACCTCCCTAGGCTTTCCCTGTGTTTTCTCTGACATCGTCTTTTGGTTGCTTCTTAAAAGAAATGCTTATATATGGGAGAGTCTTATGTCAGTTTGGACAAACCACAATATTTTCGATTGTGGGGAATATGTTGTGTCTTTAGATAATGTCTAAAATATTTTAAGTATCTTATTAATATTAACTATTAAACATATTGTAGTAATTCTCAGAAAGCATAATACAGGATGGGACATTTCAGTAGTATACTGGCTTCTCAATATAAAATATATCGAATGAAAGAGGTCATTTTAAATGGATAAATATGACCAATCTTTTATTTCCTTCCTCCGTTTGTTTCAGGACATGAGTAACACTTTGTGCAACTATGTAAAACCTTTATTTTGCTGTTATCTTGACAATTAAATCTATATTCTCAGTATATCATTTAGTTCTGAAAATAGTTTAGTAATGCTGATAAAAATGTTAATTTAAATAAGAATAGCTAAGATTTACTGCTATGGGCCAGGCACAATTGTAAGTATTTTATGTGTGTTAGCTCATTAATCCTCACAACACCCTACGTAAGTGTCGTCATCTCCATCTTACAGATGAGGATGCTGATGTGACAGAGAGATTAGGGTCACATAGCTGGTAAACGACAGAGCTGGGAATCAGACCCAAGCAGTCTGGATTCTGCTCAGTTGACCAGTATGCTGTGTTGCCTCTCCATGTTACTAGGTTCTCAAACTGAAAAAAAAGAAAAAAGGCAACAAAGTAATATATCCTGCCTTTATCCTTTGCATTATGAAGAATGGTAGAAAAGGCTAGTGATGTGTGTAATAATAAGAGTTTACATACAGCTAGCTCCAAATGATCATTATGGTCTCAATTTTACATATCAGAAAACTTTAGTTCAAAGAGGTCGTCGTTTGTCCAAAGCTACAAAGCTATTAAAACAAAAAGCCTGAATTTAATCAGAACTATAAGAAACCACCAAAGCAAATGTTTTTTAAAATGTTATTAGAAAGTTGGATGTTTTCTGTCTCTGAAACTTTGAGTGGGTAAAGAATAGCAAGATGAGGGCCTGGCCCGGTGGCCGAGTGGTTAAGTTCCTGCACTCTGCTTCGGTGGCCCAGGGTTTCGCCAGTTTGAATCCTGGGTGCGGACCTGGCACCGCTCATCAAGCCATGTTGAGGCAGCATCCCACATGCCACAACTAGAAGGACCCACAACTAAAAATACACAACTATGTACTGGCTTTGGGAAGAAAAAGAAAAAAATAAAATCTTGAAAAAAAAAAAAGAAAAAGAATAGCAAGATCAGAATCAGGAGCTGGTGAAGAGGTTACAGAAGGGAAACCAATAAAAAAATTACTGTCTTTGTAGTCAAAGTGGTGGTCCATAAAAAACAGAATTTAGGGGAAATGTGAGAAAAAATTGACAGATTTGGCATAAATGAGGGATTTTGGCATAAATAAGCTCCAAGATTGATTATTTAAATATTTAATGAACCCGTATTTTAAGTAGTAAAAATTATAATGATCTCTTGATAAAGTCGAATTAAAATCAGTATTTCAGAGTACTATGCCTTCTTTGAAGTAATTGTGTTCCACAATTTTAAAATATCATGACTTTACTCTCACTGAATTTTTGTTAAGATAAATACAGTCTTATCATTTCTTTTTTTGTTTTTTAGACCGGAAACTAATTTCTTCTGACTATTACATCTGGAATTCTAAAGCTCCTGCTCCGGTAACATATGGATCATTATTACTGTAATTGTCCCATGTTTAAATGGGACTTATACAATAGTAACATAAATTAAATCATAGTCTTTCATTTTTAATGTGTATGCATATAACCTATGAGTGAAAAATCAGTGAGTGATTTAATTATGAAAATGCTCTTGTTTAATGTTTTTGGTCTGACATAGTTGGAAAGACCATTTGGAAGACTAAGTCTCCAATTTTGTTACCATTTGATTTTACTCGTGTTAGAGTATATGTTGTATGTTTTATGTTAGAGCACAAAACAGTGATTCACTTTAGGCTTGTTTTGAACTAGTCCTGGGTCATCCTGCCACACATGTTCCTTCCTGCCCCTGTGGCAGACATGGCTAATCAGTCACAGCTCTCTTTCTCCACTGAGCCTTCCTGAATACTGGCTCAGGCTCCTCCTCAGTGCAAAGCTGCAGGCAGCCACTCCCAATGGATTGTAGATGTCTTGCAAGATAAAAAGCCGTTTGCTCTTTCAAACTGAGTACTAAGCTCCTAGTACAGTATATTGTTACAGAATACCAGAGACCACAGTAGAAACAGCTGTCAATCTCTTGAAAAAACAGCCAATGAAAGCGAACGAAAATTGTTTAAATATTAACCTGTTCTTAATCAGAACTATCCTATTGACTAATAAAGAATCTGCATAATTCTATTTAAGGTGTTTATCTCTGCTCTAGAGTTACTTTTCTGGTAAGCTTATTAATATGCCACAGTAACATTTTGCTTAAGATGTCAGTAGGCATGTTAAGAGCGGGGGTATACCTTCAGAAGATGAGCATAGTGTTTTGTGATCACTTAATGTCTGCAGCCAAATTTTTGAAGATAAATTTAGGTATAATATTGCTTTTTTCCTGTATTATTATATTGAAAATCATTAATAAATGAATTCAGGTCAAAATTTAAAAGCCATTCTATGTGTAGAGAGTATCATTTAATCTTATTTCAGTCTCATGTAGCATATTTTCTTTTAATTTGTCACTCTCACTTTCTTATTAGCATTCTCTTGGTTTCTTCAGGAACCATCCAGTCATACTCTTTATTCTCTACCTGTCTTTACAAATGTGAGTCTCCTGTTTTGAAAGCAGTTCATTGTCAAGTTGGACTTTACGTGACCATCAAGAAAAGATGAAATCTCAAGGTTCCTCAAGACTTAATCCATGTCAGCTTTCTTCTTACAGAATTAGAAGCATTATAAAAATATGCTTTGCAGATTCCTATTCAATTAAATTATCTCTTGGTTTCTATTTTTTAATGAGTCTCCTAAGGACAAGCATAGAACAAGCTGCTAACTTCTTGAAAGAGAGCTATGATAGTTTGAAGGGATATTGCATATAAATTTAGGATTTGAAATATGATTTTTTAATTAAGGTCAATCCTACTCATTATAAACTCTCAGTTTCAGCAAGGGATTATCATGGCATAATGTCCTATATTCAAAATTTTCCCAAGTAACAAAAAAAAAATACAATAACTGCCAGACCAGGACTTTAACTTATTCTAGCTTAATCATAGATAATCAGTAGTAAAAATTTTCCTTTTGAAAGAAGAAAAAAATAATTTCCCTTAAGTTATTTGATCTCTCTTAAACTCAAGGAAAGCTTAACATTTAACTTATGTTCATATTAATGGAGCCATTTGGGCATCTTGATTGTATAAATGTTCAGCGAAGAACACTAAGGATAGGCAAGAGGCATTTATCTAGTGAGTAGGCAGAAAGTCAATATAATAATCCCCTGGGGAAAACTTTATAAGCAATCAGAAAAACCAGTGGAACTTTGATTTGACATTTCTAGAAACCTGAGGAAAATCTAGGGAGACTGGAAAAGTAGAGGGCTGATGGGGAACCTGATGCCATCTGTGGCCATTCCATTCTAACATAACGCTACAGAACTAAAACCAAGTCATGTTTTTATCCCGTTGAGATCAGCTGGGCACACTGCGATCTTTTGATTTTGTCTAGAAACCTGTCACTTCAGGATAATTTCTGAAGACAAAGTCTGTTTCCCGTTTGGTAGGTGACCTGTTTAATGTTTTCCCTGTGTCTGGGAACTCCTTAGTGTAATTAGCGACCTTTGAACTCCACAACTAATCCTGAGCTATTTTGTATTCCCTACTCATCTTTAAGGCTGGACCTTTCTTTTCTTCAGAGTCCGCTGCCACAATTAAAGAAGAAACAGCTGCATTTCAAAGGGATTCCGATTCCAGAAGCTTAATCGTGATTGACATGTTCTTATTCTAAGCTATAAGACACTCTAAGAGTCCTTTCTTGGGTTAAAACTTCAATCATTTTCTAAAAAATTATCTCACTATGGATTTTATTCATTTCTTTGATAACTATTCTTTGCATTTTTTAACTTGAAAGATGCTTTGCGTTTGCGGTGAATATGAGCACCTACTTCCAGTTAAAGATGTGGGTGGTGTCAGACCTACTCGAGATGCAAAATTGCTAAATTCCCTTTCAGTGCCTAAATATGATTAGGAAATCTGATGTCTATCCTATGGATAATTATACTTCAGTAGACCCAAAAGGTACAGAAAGTGTTAAATTTCTGAAAATGGTCTCCAGAAAAAATGGTTCATAATTTTGGTAAAACCCTTCTTTTCTTCATTTGTTACTAAACAATATTTTTAAAACTTTTTAAAGCCAGCAATACCCTTACAGTGTAAGGCAGTACCCTTACACTAGTGGGCATTTTTTACTTTTTCAATAATTGGTTCAAATGTCAAGATTGAAGTAAATAGCCTTGTTGGGAATTCTTAGGAGAATTATTTGTTTAAAAAAAATTTTTTTTCATTAAAATTAGTCTGTCTCATAAAATTTAATTTTTTCACACCAACTCAATATAAAGACTTAAAATTATTGTGCTTTTTACATTGTATGATTTAAGATCTTTCAAAGCACAACTTTATACATAGTAACAACTGCTCACATTTCCTTGTGTTCTTTTTTTAGTATTTCAAACTGCTTTATTGACCTTCGTAGACTCCTGCAGCACCCCAGAGACGCAGGGAGGGCGAGTCACCATCCAGAGCCTCTGTGGCGACTGCTGCCACAGCAGAATGGTTGTTTCTAAGACAAAGGTCAGAAAAGGGATGTTAATAAACAGTCCTCAGGTTTAAGGGACTTTTTTAGGATTACATCTTAAATTCCAACAAATCAGATTTAGGAGTTACTGAAAGTGAAATTGATCCATCCCTCATCCAAACTTTGCAATACTTTCCTGTTCTGACATCATTTAGATAGTTAGCTGTATTATCAGATTAGAAACCATTGTACCGGGCTGCTGAAAGGAAAAGGAGGCAAAAAGCTAAACATGGGATGAATTCTGAACCTTTTAACCTGGCTGAAGTACGTTGGTCCCTGTTATGCAAATACCTTCAATCCTCTGCTAAGTTCAGTGGAAATAATTTTCTTGAATGACAGGTTTATTCAGCAAGGATTCAGTTGGTGATTAATCCCCCTTTGATCTAGGGTATTTCACTTAACTACCAGTTACCTCGTTCTGACAAAGTGCAACTGAGATTAGGGAGATCACTAGAACACTACCAGGGTGTGCGTTTATTCTCTCTAACCTTTTAAAGCAAGGGCCAAGAATGCAATTTATTTTCAGTATTTGAAGATGTAAAGTCCTGTCTGCTAAGTTAGAAAGTCAATTGAATACCAAATGAAGTTTATTTCTTACGTAATAGAACAAACATTTCTTTTTGCTTTGCCTAACAATGATTTTAGGAAACATAGGCTTTGAAGAAAGAAGAAACAAAGACTACATTCTAAGTATATCTTCTGGTTTTGTTTCATGTACTGGACTGTATGCTTACTGGCCCTGAGATAACCCCAAAATTAAAGCAGTGGCTACAACTTCTGTTTTATTAAACTACAAGATTTTTCCCCACCCTCCCCCATTAAAAAATGTCATGCTATGTGGTAAAGAAATCCCATTGGGGAAAACATATTCTAATACACAATTATTCGTCTTAAGACTTCTGATCCCAAAGCTTTGTTTGTTAACTTTGTCCTTTTTTGAGGAAAAGGAGCTTGTTATGTTCCTATTATAAGAATAATTGCATTCATTTTTAGAATGAAGACTTTTTTCATAAAGAAAGGTAAATGATGCCTTACAAAAATACTTCAGAGTAATTATTTTAAATTAGCAAAATAACCATTTTCCAGAGTATTGCATACTACTTTTTCTGCCTTTTTCTCATTTAACTGGGTACCACTTCCATAATTTTAAACTTTGAAATATTATATGGAGTTTTGCACAGTATTATAAGAATAAATTTTAAGAAGTGTTTCATGCTAGGTTTCTCAAAGAATTCTCTTTTAAACCATTGTTAATATCAATGTCAGTATTTATCTTGCAAGATGTCAAATTTAGGAATTTATTCCTCAAGTATATTTCAAACCCTTAAAAAAAGAAACTGATTTGTAACAAAATTTGTTTTTAAATATTAAATTAATAATAATTAATTTTATTATTATAGACAAAGCATTTTTAAGTGCTTTATAGTTCATTATTCTAGTAGCAGTTTGCAGTACAAGTTATTTAGATAATTTTTTTATTTTCATTTTTTGGCTCAAACTGTTTGTGATCCAATTTCTAAATTGAAACAATGACTCAAAGAAGTGCCTGTCTAAGTTATATTGGTGCCAAACCAGCCTCTCTAGTTTCAATTTAGTAACCAAACTGTTTCTAAGATCTTTGATAGCAAGTTACTCAACCACAGCAAACTTGAGGATCAGAAAAAGTCTAAGATGGAAAGCAGGATCCCTTGGCTCTATTGCTAAGAAACTAGTATTTTTAATAATTACTCTATGCAGTAAATATTTAATTAATAAAATGTTGCAGTATGTTTTGAAATACTCCATAGAGAAAGAATCTATATAAAACATGTATGTACAGATTTGGGGGGTTTTGGGGTGGGAAGATTAACCCTGAGCTAACTACTGCCAATCCTCCTCTTTTTGCTGAGGAAGACTGGCCCTGAGCTAACATCCATGCCCATCTTCCTCTACGTTATATATGGGACGCCTACCAAGGCATGGCTTTTGCCAAGCGGTGCCATGTCTGCACCCGGGGTCCGAACCGGCGAACCACGGGCCACTGAGAAGCGGAACATGCGAACTTAACCACTGTGCCACCGAGCTGGCCCCTACTTTGTTTTTTTTTTTTATTTTTGTTTTTGGTATGGAAGATTGGCCCTGAGCTAACATCTGTTGGAAATCTTCCTCTTTTTGCTTGAAAATTAGCCCTGAGCTAACATGTGTGCCAGTCTTCCTCCACTTTGCATGTGGGATACCACCACAGCATGGCTTGATGAGCAATGTGTAGATCCACGCCTGGGATCCAAACCCACAAACCCAGGGCTCCCGGAAGCAGAGCATGCAAACTTAACCACTATGCCACCCGGCCGGCCCCCATGTGTATATTTATGTAATAGGTTAGTGTGTCTGACTTGGTGGGTTTCCCTATGAAATACTTCAGTATCATGTCAAAGGAAGACAAATATTTAAAGTCAGATATTCAAATATCTTCCCTCCAAACACAATGTTATTTAATGGTAATGAAGAAATTCATTAAAATGAAAACTGCCGAAGAACTCATGAGATTACTCTTACAAAATAGTTACAACTCTTATGCGCTAAAGGCTTTTCAACTAGCTCCTAATTTTTTTCATCACCTGTTTTATGGCTATGATAATATAGCCTGGAGCAGTGCAATGCCTTGTCTGTATTACTAGTTTACTGCCTTGTAAGCAGGTTACTCTGAGGTCCGGGTTGATTTCTCTAAGGCACTGGCTCATCCCTGTGTAATTGTTGGCAGTGTGGTGTTAATGTATGATGCACGGTATTTACAGATTGATGGATGCCTTGGGATGGAAACCACCTGCTGAATTGTTTCTCCAGT